ATACGAAGAATAGGATTCATGGAACGCCGAAATCAGACGCCAAATTCGGATACTTATCCGGTGAATGCTTAGTCGCGCGTTTGGTTCTCTGGTTCAACATAAGATCCACCATCTTACGTCTCGTGCAGTGATCGACAAAAAAAAAATGAATCCACCGAGACGAGTCAGCGTCACGCGCGCGCAATTTGAACAACGATCGGTATAAGTATCAAAATGGCGACGGCGATACGGTCAACGACGAATATGCAATGCGATCGAGAGTACACGCGCGACTTGCAGCGTTTCGTTCGCGAGTACAACGACGAAACTGTAAAGACCGAGCATCTCGAGAGCAGCAACAACGGAGCGGCAGCGGACGGCCACGTTCGCTTTGGTGCCAAAGTAGCACGATTTTTGGACCTGTACGAGGACCGTTTGCAGGCGAGCGACCGTATGTTTCTGAGGCACGGTAGCGCGAACTATGCAGGCGCTCTTATTGCGTTCGATGCAATTGAGCGGATTTGGCGACCTCGCCATATCTATGAGCGGCGCGCGAAATCTGGAACGCGACTTGGCCACCGCGCGACGCCGGTTGGAAAATGCTCGCAACAACGTCGACGTAGGTGACAGCGGCGGCGATGACGTGATCCGCGTACGGATATACGTGGACTGTATGAATACATTCCGTAATGAAAGTCTCTCAGTTTCTCTCGACGACTTGCCGGGGTACGAGGAACAACATCGTCTCATCGTGAATGCGTACTTTGATTTTGACAGCAGCGCGTCCAACGCGAAACGCAACGCTCGCGACACCAACAATTCAATAGACGGGCGCAAACCTCGTACGAAGGCCGGCGCCAACGTGATTTTGTACGATCCTCCGGGTACGGGCAAGACCGCGGCTGCACGCGCGGTCGCACAAACATTGCGACTCAACTTGGCGTTCGTGAACGCTGAGAATCTTCTCTCCTCATATCGCTCCGAAACGGAAAAGAACTTGCGCATCCTGTACGAACATATGCGCGCTTTGGTTCACGTAACCGGCCGCAATGTTGTTTTGCTCATGGACGAAGTGGATGGCTTGGTGAAGAATCGCAGCGGTAGCAGCGGCGCACCGCCTATCAGCAGCGGCGACTACAGCTTGCTCACGCGGTTTCTCACGATATTAGAGCCCAACGACGGTACGGATAACTACGGCGTGTTCAGCATGTTTACAACGAATCGATTGGACAATTTGGACGACGCATTTCGACGGCGATGCACCGCCGTCTTTTTCGGATATGTCACGAGTCGTACGTCTTTGGCCACTTTGGCCGGTCGCTTTCTGGCGGATTCGATGGACAACGTCGATGACATTTCGCACAGCACCGCGGCCATGGACACGTTCAAATACTGGGTACCTGGCGACTTCGCTCGCTTCAAACGCGAATTTGTAAAATCCTAGCGCATGAGAATTTACTTGCAACGCATCGGTGTATCAGAGCGCAAATTTTATCTCCGAATTTCTAGCAACGACGGTGGACAGGATGGTGGTGGTGGTGGCGGCGGCGGTATCGATCAAACGCGTAGTGGAACGAACAGAGAAATTGTTCTAGACATGCCACCTCTCAGCGTTGCGGATATCGTTAATTTAGCTTCACGGTACAAACCGATCACGCCGCCACACAAATACAATGAATATTTGGGCGACGACGACAGTACGCGGCGTTAGGACGAGACATATGGGATACATTGTACGCAGAAAGTAAACTCAACTAATTTGGACTGCTGTATTTATCTTTATTCATTTATTTTCAATGTATATGTAAAGTCGTGTAACAAGTAACGAGCTCTGCAACGTCGCACACTTCCAGGTCAAAAAAGTTATTCCGACGAATAACTTCGAGATACTCAAAATGTGGCCGTTGTTGCAATCGTAATATCGAGAGCAGGTATTCGACTGGTGTCATGACCGACCGTGTCCTGACGACAGTGGAGGCCTCGTTATCGCAGTCGTAAAAGTTATCGGTTCGATAGGTCGCTCCGTCGTCACAGGGCACTTTGCCGACCGAGTGGGGAAATCTCCCTACTTCGAAGTAAGTCGATCCATGACCAACTGGGGGAGATCTCCTACCTTTCTCTTAGCAACTTGAGAAAATGCGCGGTAGAAAGCGTTGAGTTAGCTATGGCTCACGCGGTTAGCAAAGTGTTAACACTTTGCCGTCCGCACGTCTCGTAAAAATTTATTCGCTTGGCGCCGGCAGCGCTAATTCGGATTACTTGGCTTGTCGCCGGCCGTTCTTGACATTATCGGAAGATTATAAATTGTTAAGTTTTACTAATCTCATCGTTAGTTCTCATAAGTTCTCAACCCTGTTCCTCTACTTTCATGAAATTTCGAAGATATACATACGTAAATAAATACAAAATTTGTTTGTTTTATATATTAGTTTATTTGCATTTTCTTTGGTACTTAGTATTTCTCTTTCATATGATATGCAGCAAAACAGTCTCCAAGATGTAACGCAACTCCACAAGACTTGCACATTAAGTTTGTTGCTCTTCTTTTTTTGTTCTTGGAACATACATGGCAGTTTCTTCGTTTTCGTTTATTCGTTTCGGAAATAAGTATCAGTTGGTGTTGCTTTATGTGACCGGAAGGTCTGTCAACCGGATCATGATGAGACGTACGCGATGTAGTGGCAACCTCCAAGTTTTGCTCAGAAGCAGGTACATGGTCTTTTATCCACGAATCAGACACTTTCAATAAAAAATCGTGAAATCGGACGCGCACGACACCACTGTGGTGTCGCCGGCCGTTGACCGCTAGTTCGCGCACGACACCACTGTGGTGTCGCCGGACGGCATAGTGTTAAGATATTTAAGGAAAATTTCTTCAACATTTAACTTACGATATCTCGTTAGCAATTTGTCGCAAGAAAAAGTGATATTAGACTTTTTTACTCTATTTAGTCTTTAGAATATATTGTTACAATAGCGTCCAAATTTTTATTAACTTATCAACTTTTGGAAATTCCGAAATTATTAAATTAACAAAAGTCAAAGCGCTATTGTAACAATATATTTTTTACGTCAAATGCAGTAAAAAAGTCTAGTACTACTTTTTCTTTCGACAAATGATTAGCGAGATATCATAAATTAAATGTTGAAAAAGTTTTCCTTAAATATCTCAAAAAATATTAGGCAAATAAAAAAATATTTCAGACAAAAGTTGTTCAAATTAATTGGTAGAAAAAGACAATATAATAAAAAATTGAGATTTCTGTTTAAGAAAATTAATGATCAGTGAATATTTAAAAAATATTTAAAAAATGGCACCATTTGTAAACAAAACGCTATCGCTATCTTATATTCCCCTTTAAGCCATATAACTTTTGTTTGAAACATTTTTCCATATTTGAAGCCGTCTGTGAAATCCAGGAGTGAAGTCAGACTTTAGAGATACTCTACTATAGGAGTTTAAGATGAAACAACCTGAACATATACGCCTATTTGCGTTCCGCAATTATTTGGATATTTCCTCGCGATCATCGCTAATATTTTACCGATATTTTGATTGTGTCTGTTGCTTCTTGTTGACATGCGACCCGTTTTTATACGGAAAACGAATACTTTTTTGTCGAAAGCGTAATCAGAGCGCTCGACTCTGATGCCGGTTCGCGCGTGCAATTTCTCGACGTCTCACAGCCGACGATGGGCAAAACTTCAGGTCCACCATGTATATATATATATATATATATATATATATGATCAAGCCATTTACTATAATATATAAACACCAGCAGCTCCTCTTTGCTAGGCCCATTATCACATCTTGATTAAGGATCACTTTTTTTTTTATATCCTTATAACCACCGCGATCTTGCCTCCATTTCCTGGATCAGCCACCAATTTTGCTTTCGTTTGTCGGATTACCCGCCGATCTTACCTTAGTTGGCTAGATATCTTATCATAAAAATCTCGATAACCTTGAAACGGCTGACTCAAAGTGAATATTATTATAGTATTTTGAAAGGGTCTGAATAAGAGGACTATAAGAATATGCAATAAAAGATATAGGATTACATTTAAAAAATTCGAAGTAATTTTCACCTGACCTTGGCGACGCAACCCAAGGTCAAACTGATAAAGCTAATAAATAGTTTTAAGTCTTACAACTTTTATCTAAAACATTTTTCTTATAAAACTTATATAACTATAAGTTTTATAAGAAAACTTATATAAATGGGGGGTGCGGGTGGGGGGCCGAAGGGCCCCCCGCACCCCCTTTCGGTGTGTGTGTGTGGTGATGCTCATATACTTCGTGCAGTTTGTTCGTGTTGTTACATTCAGCTCATCTGACAGGATTCATAACCTAAACTGTTATCTGCTTTAACGCCTAATATCTCGCTTCGGAAGGCAGAGCGACGACTTTGCTAGAGGAAAAAGTTGTTTGTTTTGCAAAAACGCGTTGAATGAGCCTAGTTTCATCAAAATCGGTGATGATGTGGCTAAACTGAATAATTACCATATATTGTAGTATTTCATTAAAATAAAATTAAGTAAAAATGACAAGTAAATGGAAACCTAAAATACGTAATAAGTGAGATAAATAAGTGAGAATATAAGTAATAAAATAATAAGTTAGCATACAAAGTGAACAAGAGAAAGAAATAATAAATATTGTATTTATGTAAGTTGTACGTGCGTGCGTGCGTGCGTGCGTGCGTGCGCGCGTGCGTGTGAGCGTGCGCGTGCGCGTGCGCGTGAGCGTGTGCGTGCGCGTGAGCGTGTGCGTGTGCGTGAGCGTGCGCGTGAGCGTGTGCATGTGTGTGTGTGTGTGTGTGTAAGTAGATAAACAATTATATGTAATTAAATAATTTTAATTTTTCCTTGTTTTGACATGTCACAGTAAATATTACTGGTTGTTGGAGCATAGTTCTTCGCACTGGAATTAATTTACCTTCATTGTCATCAACAAATATATGTCAGATAAGTAATTTATATTTACATAAGACAAAAAATTAAATATTCATGTGCTGTTTATAATTGTAGATGTTATTAAATTGATTCTGTCCTTTGATTTAATTTTTGTTCCAGTTTCCCAGCTATGTATGCGTTTGCAGAATGTTAGTAGAGAATAATTATCGTGGAATAAGGTTGCCAAATTCCAAGCCTTGATGAACATCACTCATGGTTATGGCATCGTTCTTCACAGCTGGGTCAATTTGTCATCACTGTCATCACTTAACTGAGGAGTTAACTGTCATTAACTTTGGAATGAACACAGATGACAATGCATGATGAGAGAAGTGTAAGTAAGGAAACTAGGGAGATATAGGATAGGGGGATATAAATCAAGGATAAACAATTATATCAGATGAGTAGTTTATATTTACATAAGATGAAAGATAAAATATTTATGTTTATGCTGTTTATAATTGTACATGTTGTTGAACCGATTCTTTCTTTTGAATTTTTTTTCAATTTTCCAATAATCCACATGCTCGCTGTAAGTTGATATCTAGAGAATAATTTTCTGTGGAATAAGGTTGCCAAATTTTGAAGGTAGTGTTTTCTAGTTATAAACAGAAGTTGGAATTACATTCTGATGTCAAATATCCGTCACCAGCAAAGCCACGACAGATTGATGAGAGCAGGTTTGTGAAATTGATATTTACTATTATTTTTTATCGACGCTTTCTATAGATATATTCGATGTTTATTACCATCTTGTTGAGTGTACTGAATCATATGTTTTTTATCTTTCAGCTTTTATCTTTCAAATAGGATTTGTTTCCAATACTTGCCTCTATAAATATGGTTATTAAGATTTGAGATCTGATACAGAAATATATAGTTTCTCCAAAAATTGAGGATCAATTTTTAAAAGAAATACCTATAGCAAAATAAAAATCATGTATTGTAAGTAAATGTATAAGCCATGAGAAGTCAGATAATCGCAAATCTGTGCAACAAGAAGGAAAATTAAAAGAAGAATAAAAAAATTAAGAACATGTTTTATAAATTTATTTCTCTTCCTATTCATTCTGACAGTTCATATAAAATTAATATCTATGTTTGTATTATTATTTATTTTACTCCAAATCTTTTGTAACTTTTCTTCTTTTTCTTTTAAAATATTATTCTCAGGTCTTGACCAAAATGCAGGGTGATTAATAATACTGTGTATATATTTTTGATGGTCTGCCAAGTTTGCTGTAAATAATATAATACCTAATTATAAAAACATTAAAAATATTCTGAAAATAAGTGTAACACTGTGTACAAATACCTAAAAATGCGATGATTGTATTGGGTGAGTGCAAAAGTTCGTGCGGAGTTTCAATAGATGGAGTTATAAGCGTCGTAAAGTGTTGTCATTAATACTTCCATCTACATATTATATAACGTTGGAAAGGTGACGTCTTCAGCTGTTATTAAAAAAAAAATCATTTGTTTTCATACAAACTGCTTCGAGAAATATCACTTTAAAAATGAGTATCGATAAGGTGCATTTATTGTTATGCTTTACGAGTTTCGGAAGGGAATAAACGTTGCCGCAGCCGTAAAAAACATTCAGGATGTTTATCAGGATGAAGCACCAGCTAAACGAACTGTGGAAAAATGGTTTGCTAAATTTCGGCGCGGAGAATTTAACCTTGAAGATGAACCACGCTCTGGTCGACCTTCTGACATTGATGACGATGTTTTGCGTACTTTAGTGCTCAATAATCCGCGAATTTCAACAGAAGAAGTTGCTACAGCACTAAACGTTGACCGATCAACCGCTTTTCGGCGTTTAAAAAAGATGGGATTCGATTTGAAGCTCGATATATGGGTGCCCCATTTGCTGACCGAGAAGAACAAAATCAAGCGAATTTCTGCAGCCGTTTCTTTACTCGGGCGGCTCAATAACGAGTCGTTTTTGGATCGACTAGTGACGGGCGATGAGAAATGGGTCCTCTACAACAATGTTCAGCGCAAACGGACATGGAAATAATCAGGTGAGCATGGTGACGCAATGCCAAAGGCCAGTTTGCACCCGATGAAGGTGATGCTCTCTGTTTGGTGGGATTGCAAGGGCATAATCTATTTCGAGCTTCTCCCCGCTGGCGAAACGATTGATTCGGACAAGTACTGTCGCCAATTAACCAATCTGAATCGAGAAATAAAAGAGAAACGTCCGATTTTGTCAAATCGCAAGGGAGTCGTCTTTCATCACGACAACGCCAGACCACATGTTTCGAAAAAGACGCTGCGCAAACTGAAGAGCCTGAAATGGGATGTCTTAACGCATCCACCGTATTCTCCTAATATCGCACCATCTGACTATCACTTGTTCCGGTCATTGCAAAATTATTTAGATGGAAAAAACTTTGACTCTTTGGAGGCCTTAAAAAACGGCGTCTCTTCGTTCTTCGAATCTAAACCGCGCAGTTTTTATGATCGAGGCATCCGTATGCTGCCAGAACGTTGGGAAAAGATTATAGAAAACGATGGAGAATATATCATTGATTGAATAAAGATTTTTGTTTGCCTAATCACTGTGTGACTTTTACTCACAAACTCCGCACGAACTTTTGCACTCACCCAATAGAATGTTTATTCAGCTTTTCTTTGAGTTCTCTGTTATGTCGCTCTGATATATTATTAGTTTTATGTAATTGTTTATATACACAGAACGACTCGGATTTAAAACCGTTAAGCCATGTTCTTTTATAATAATTAAGAAATGGCTCAATATATTTGCAATTGCCAAAAATTATTGTTGAAATTGTATTGAAGCCTCCCTCTATTAAAGGTTCAGGCAACAAAGCTAAAGATATTAATAATTTAATTGCACCATATCTTATTTCTTCATTGTTATTTTTGTCCTTTAATATTCTATGCTTTAATATTCTATGCTTTTTTGCATTATGTACTAATGCCTGTAATAAGTAAGCAATATAAAGAAAAGTGATGTACATTTCATGTTTATTATTATATGTGTTGTTATTTTTTACCTGGCTATAATGGAAAAAACAGTCAATTACTTTAATACCAGGAAAAACAATTTTTAGTGCGTTTCGTTCCGCTCTTTCAAAATCTGATATTCCTATATTTGGTTGGATTGGAACAATATTGCACACTTTATATAAAATTTCTACTGAGTCTCCGGCGGCGCTCCTTGGCGGCCGTTACGAAAGTAGACGGCCTTCGTTTTCCGGGGCGCCACCTTGAGTCCCAGATCCGTGATGGTGCCACCACGAAGTGTAATGTCGCCTCTGCTCGGAGGCGGGCTTCCCCCCATCCTCTCCCCCCGGCTACCACTAATGTGTCATCTGCATAGCAGATGACGTGGCAGCCGGGGGAAGGGGAGAGCGCAGTACCCGGTTGAACGTGATGTCCCAGAGCAGTGGGCCGAGGACCGACCCCTGCGGGACACCACACTCCATGGCGCGCCGACCCTGGACCACGCCTCTCCCAGAATAGGCGAGGTCCCTGCCTCCGAAGTAAGCCGATAGGATGCGCCGGAGATAGGCGGGCACCCCGTGATACTCGAGGGCCCGCCCAATCTCCGGCCAGGGCAGGGTGTTGAAGGCATTTGTGATGTCCAGCGGCACCGCCAACAACACCCCGCCCTCCCTGTCAACGACCACCCAGGTCAGGTCCCGGAGCCGCTGAACCGCATCCAGTGTGGATCTTCCGGGCCTGAACCCGTATTGGTGGTCGTGGAGGTTCGGCCCCTCGAAGGACAGATGCTGGACGAGGCGGTCAGTATTAATGCGCTCTAGTATCTTGCCCGCCTCGTCCAGCAGGCATATCGGCCTGAAGATCGGCGTATTACCGGGCACATTGCTCTCTTTCGGGAGGAGGACCAATTTGGCCCTCCTCCACTTCGGGGGGAATGCCCCCTCCTTGAGGCACCCACTCAGCGTGTCCCGCATGGCTGCGGACAGGTTCCCATCGCCGAGGGCGAGAGCACAGGTGCGGCCAGGAATGCCATCGGGGCAAGGCGCTTTGCCCCTGGCCCCGAGCTTCCTGGCCATGGCGTCTCCCCTCCGGGGAGACCTCCAAGTCCTTTCCCCAGTCCCCTTCCCGCTGCTCGGGAACAGGGATCTGGGGAGCCCCCTTCCACTCTCGGAAAGAGAGTGTCCAGGAGCCCCACGAGGGCCTGGGGGCCCAAGGTCTCCGTCGGTGGGGGCGTCTCTTACAAGGGCGTATCTCGCCAATCGCCCGTTTATACGGGCACCCCACGGATCCTCGTCCAGGAAGTCCATCATCTGCTCCCAGGCTCTCTTCTTAGCCTCGACAATGGCGGCCTTGAGAGCTTTCCTCGTTTCGAGGTAGCCCTCTTCCTCCCTCGCGTTTTTCCCGCCTCGTCGCCGGGCCCGGAAATAATCCCTTCTGGCTCGGATGGCGGCCTCCCGAAGCTCGGAGAAAGCTGCCGTCCACCAGTACGCAGCCCGGCGCTGGCGGGGGTGGGACCGGAGCATCGCGGCGTCGCATATCGACGCCACGATGCGCACCATCTCCTTAGCCCCCTCCAGGGGGCTAGGGTCACACGCACCTGGCACGTCGAGGTGCCAGGTGGCCACGAGGGCGGCCGCCCGGAAACTGTCCACGTCAAATTGATTGGTAGCCCACCGTCTGGGAAGGGGAATTTTCCCCTCCCCAGGGCGGCGGTCCAGCACCCGCGGAGGGTCGGGGAGACCGAGGGACCACACGATGTAGCGGTGGTCGGACAACGTCTTACTCTCGGTCTCCACCGACCACTCCCGGAACATTCGGGCGGCCGAAGGGGAAGCCCACGTTAAGTCAATGACGAACTCCTCATTCGGCCGCACGCAGATGCTGGCCGACCCACTGTTCATCAACAGGAGGTCGAGACCCGCTGCCCAGCCGGCCACGGCTCCGCCCCGAGGGTCCTCTTGCCGGGGACTAGACCCCCACCCTGTGGAGTGGGCGTTAAAGTCCCCGGCAACCACGATGGGTCGGGGGTGGCACCGTCGCACCACATCCCCGACCCGACCGAGGACCCTCATAATCGGAGCGAGTTCGCTGAGGCCGGCCTTGTTTCTGCGGTGGGGGAGATATACCTCACTATAGTGATGGGCCCCCAATCAACCGTCACATAGGAGTCCCCCTTTGTCCTGAATTTACAGGGGGTGAACCCCTTTACGTGGCAGGCCACCGTGGCCACGGAGCCGCACCGGCTCCCGTACCAGCAAGCGCTGTTGACTGGGATCTAGCGTGGCTCCGTTACCAACCCCAGCCCAGCGCCCAATTCCTTGGTCCTATTCATGAACAGATCCTGGGCCCGGGCGCCGCGGCCGAAGTTGGTTTGTAGGACCCGAAGGGGCGTAAAAGCTAAGCCTTTCACGCTTCCTTCGGGCGTTCTACTTCTGCCTCCTCAGGGGGTTCCGTCGGAGTGAATTGTTCCATATCCGACAGCCCTCCCGAGGAGGTTTCGGCCATGATGTCCTCTTCTGATGTGGGTGCCTCTTCCGAGGCGCTGGGAGGCGCTACCTCCACGACCCCCTCCTCTGGGGAGTATGAGTGGAGGTCGACCATCTGGGGATCCGAGAGTGGTGCACCCTCGAGATCCCCCTCCATCCCTAAGGCAGTTGGGAGTGGGGCTTCTACCTCCACCCTCCTTACCTCCTTACCTTAGCTTCCCTCGTTGCAGAGGAGGCCGGCCTGGCCTCCCTCTCCACTGGGTCCTTCTTAGGGGGCGCCTCGTCCACCACTCCCCTCCTCTTTCTCTGAGGCGCCGGAGGCTGCTCCGCCTCCTTCTCAGTGGAGAGAGTCCTCACGACCTCCATTTCCGGGTTCCCCGTTGGGGAGGAGACAACCCCGGCCCCCTCCCTTCCAAGGTCCCCCGTTGGGGAGAGGGCCGGTCCGGCTTCCTCCCTCTCTAGGCCCCTTGCCAGGGAGGGGTCCAGTCCAGCCCCCTCCCTTTCCGGTTTGGCCTCCTCCTTACTCTGCGCCTGTCCTTCTTTTTG